TACCATACTGATTCGCACCCATGGTATCAACCACAAAAGGAACACAAAGCTAAACAGGCAGAAATGACAGAAAATAATCCAACCCGGGCTATAAAGTATTCACTTTAATAACCCCGGGCAGCATGCAACACATAGCAAATAAGGACATTTTGGCAATTAAACAATTTCGGGCAGAAAATTAAAATTAATTAATTCTACCCCTTCCACCCAATAAACTACCCCTACGCATAACAATTGAATAAAAACAACACTTAGTAATTCAATTAACACACTAAAACAGTCTACCACAAAGGGGAAGGTTTAGAACGTACCTGGGGGGTTGGCGGCCGGGATTAAATCAACCAGCGGCCCACGGGGAGGGGGAATAAATTAAATTAAATTAAAACTGGAATATAACAAATAGGAAGTTTATTGAAAGTACAAATAGGAGAACTTATATTTTGCGAAGGGGTGAGTGAGAGAGTCTGGGACTCTGGCGGTGACGTCGCCAAAAAAACCCCAAAAAAAAGGAGATCGAGGAAGATGGCCGGAGCAACTCCGCCAAAACTGCGCCCAACCAACCCTTCGGCGATCGAATCTCTGGCGGCTCTAAGGTCGCGGCTCAGATTTCGATGGGTCTTCAAGCTCCTAACTTTTTTGGCGGCCAAATTGAACTCCGAGAGAGCAAAATGCCGGCAGCAGAAACCTCTGGCAGCAAGACGTGGGCTGAGATCGTTCGTATGGTGGTTCCTTCAGCAGAGTGCACCTCCTCCGCCATTACAGATCTGCACATGGCCTGCTCGACCCAAACTTCGACAAAAAAAATCAGATATGGGGCCTTCTGCAACTTTTGCTTTTCAGATGCAGACTATGGGTTGTCAAATACAGGATCCGGTCCAGATTCACCAGGAACCAATTATTGGGAATGAGCTTGTTTTATTTGAAGGAGTTGATAAATTCTTTTTCCTCCAGGATTGTTATGATTCAGTTAAGATTGAATCTAAAACTTTTAGAATTGCAATGAGCAATTTACGGTTATCAATTTTAGAAATTAAAAATAGAGTACTTCGACAATTGTCATTTTCATTGGACTCAGCTGTTTGGCTACGAGATCAAATTTCGAGCTTTCTTCGGATCAAACCGAGGTTCTTTTCGACACGCAATGGGCCCTTAAAGATCAGTCTTGAGGGAAACAAATTTGGAGCCTTTTTCCGGATTTCTGAATCCAAAGACCGGTTTTTGATAATCCCTCTGGGGAAAAAATTTACAGGTCTAACCGCCTTTTTTGCATTGCTAGATAATGTGTTACAAAATTCTGGATATACAATACCAGATCCTCTTACAGCTAGCAAGAGCCGAAGCAAGGACGAAGTCAACTCAATATCCAAGCTTCTTTTTCAAGCAGATTTAGAAAAGCTTCAGGGGAGGGGAACGACTGAGCAAGTTTTCATGGTTGGGGATATAGATATGCACAAGGTTTTGGCTTATTCTGAACATTCAAATAGGTTCTTCTCAGGGGATGAGTTTCAAGGTCACGCCTCTGAAAGTGACAAAAGGCATCCGTTATCGATCACTGAGGATTTATGGGATTCAGACACAAACAGAGACATCTGTTACAAATCCAATCTGGTTACTAAGGAAAATTGTCTGCCTACGAGCAATTTGAATACCCAAATCAAAATGTACCGGAAAGAAAAGAAAAATCGGCATTGCACTCTATGAGAACTAGATCTCAATCTAGGGGTTTCAAACATGACACGAGGGACGATGAGTGGAGCGGCTCTGAGGGCTTCTTTTCCTAAGTTCCCTAAATAAATATCTTGTTTTTTTCATTTGTCTTTATTGTACTTCTTTTCATTTTCTTGCTTTGCTTGTAACTTTTCCTTTTATTCTTAATAAATTTCCCTTTGAAAAAAAAAAGGAAGTTTATCGAAAACTTACCTTCGCGAAACCCTAGGAGAGCGTTTCGACCTTACCTACCCAATTAAAAAATTGGGATTTTTCTGGAGAGTTGACTGCCGTTGACCGGCGTTGACCGGCGGCGGTTGATTGGCGTCCAACAGCTCTAACCCGGTCCATGTCAGCAATCCAGCTTCAGCCCACCAACCCAGCTTTAGTCCAGCAGCTCAGCTTCAAGCTCCAACAAACACTAGCCCAGGTCCAGAGGCCCAAAGGAGGCCCAAAAGTCCAGGACCTCAATTAGACTGCTCCAGCAATCTAAGTCAGCAAGGTCCAGCAGTTGCGTTCCTTCTACACGAGAATAGCCAGCTCTCTGCTATTTGCGGACCAGCGAAGAACGAAGACCGGCGATTGACCCAGGCGACCGGCGGCTTCAGCGGTTGTTCGCGTCGACTTGCCATCCCTCTGGCCAGCGCTCTGCTCCGGCGACGAACAGATAAATCCGGCGGCGACTCCTCTGCGACAAGCGGCGAGCTTCCAGGCGGCGAGAAGGGGCTCCCCGGTGACAACAGCGAAGCTTCAGATTCCGGCGAGGGTTTCAAGCTTCGGTCAGAGGTCTATTTCAACCTCCAGGCAACGAACGGACAACAGTGGAAAGGCCAGTGCGTCGGTTGACCTTCTGCGAGCTCCAATCGGCGGCGGACGGCGGGACGACGGCGAAGTGCGGCAGGTGACGGCGGCAGACGGCGGTTCCAGGCTCTGATACCACTGTAAGGATCGTTTCTTCCGTCTCCGGCTCAGGTCTTTCTACACACTACTCATATACAGGAAGCTATAGCACAACTCTAAGCTTTTATCTCACCACTAAGTCCCTCTCTCAGTTCTCACACAAAAGGAAAGAGAAGAAGAAGAGCCCTGCTCTCTGGAAGTGTTACTCTCGCAGGCTGCTTCAAAATGGGAGAAGCAAAGGACTTAAAATAGGCTGCCAAGGAAGTCACGGGTGAGGCAAAACAAAAGACACTCACATGCTACTCAAACAAAGGAAGGTCACATGTATGAGCCAAGACAAAGAGGTTGCAGCGGACAGCAAACAAAGGGGGCAGCCAGTAGGTAAGTCAACTCAAATAGATATATTATTGATCAAATAGTATACCAAGGTAAAAGGTGCCAAAGTGGGAGTAAAACAATAGTGTGCAAGCCTCAGCAAATAAAGTGGAAGGAAGACCTTGGCAGGACCAATACTTCCAACAACTTCATAATTATTTTTTATTAGTATAGTAATGGATTTAATTTTCAGCCCACAGTTAATAATTGTTTAGCCCACCCCAAGCCCACTAGATGACTAGAAAGTGGTCCGTGAAGCTTTGAAAGGCAGACCAACATTTAAAAGCCCGTAGCAATTCAATGAGCCAATGTCAAACAGTGTTCACAGTGAGCTTCGGGCATATGACGAGTTGGCGACTCTACTAGTCATTGCCTACACCAATACCAGCAAGGAGCGAATTACTTATAGGGCAATCAGAAATGCTAAACTATCAAATGCAGCCGGTGTGGGAATATTTGAGAATAGGAAATCTTTACATACATAGTATTATACGGAGTGTATAGCTAGTAGGTTGGGACTTGGTAGCCAGCAGCCATGCACAAAAGGTTGGGACTTGGGAGCATGTAAATTAAGTGTTCTCGGTTTAAGATTAGAGCATGCAAAAAAATTATTACTTCTATTATTATCATGAGTTTTTCCTAAAATATTATTAAGATTAAGTTATGCAAATTAAGTGTTCTCGCTTTAAGATTAGAGGATGCAAAAAAAATTATTACTTCTATAATTATCATGAGTTTTTCCTAAAATATTATTAAGATTAAGTTAAGATATTTGTTTTACCCAAGTCACTATGAGTAACTTTTATAAGCATTCTAATTGTAGAATTAAAACATAATTATAATCATTCAAATAACTAAGTCACTTTTTATACACTATCCTTATTTGGTCATATATTATTTATGTTATTATATATTATGCTTTTTGGTTATCCGGTTCATTTTTTACAACGAGCATAGTTAGAACTACTATTCATGATCTTTAGAGCTCTAGAAGTATATATACTTTTGTTATAAATCGACTATAAGAAGCACGAAGCTGAAGTCGGAAGCACTCAACTCAGTCAAGCGACGAAGACACGAAGTCACGAGCACAGGTGCCCAACCGCATCGCCACCTACCGTCCCGGGTCCTACGTCGGCCGTCGGTGTCCCTCCGGAGTCATGCACTTCAGCCTATAGCTCGTTGCTTCTCTACCTCTCTAGCAGGGACGTAGCTAGGGGAGGGCCGGCCCTGGCCCAACCTAAATTTTAAAAATGTCTATATTTTCAGTGTAAAAAATTCCGTGAAAAAAAATTCAAAAAAAATCTTTGTACCGGCCCGCTCAGGCCCAATGCCCTAGCTCCGCCCCTACTCTCTAGTCTATTCGAGTCCAACTAGCCACCTCTAGCAGAGTCTAGTTGTCCGGTCGTCCACATATACTATAATACGCTCTTTTAATCTATTATGTTGTGTATTAGTTTTTTAGTTTTATAATTCTGTTTGATTATTAAATGAATTTTTTAGTAGATAATAAAACAGTGTTTATTCATTTATGCTCGAATTTGGCTTGAATTAAATAGATTTATTAATTATCATTTTTAGTGTTTAAATAGATTCATAAAGTTGCACCAAAAATGTTTAAATTTCAAGATAAATAAAATTTATTCCTATCATTTATGAATTATCAACGGGTCAAGTCCAGATCGAACCGAATATCACTATGCTCAAACTCAACTTGAATAACTATTTGAACTCAAAATATAGTCTGTGTTCAGCTCAAGGCACGTTAAGCTCGGGTCGTTAAATCAAATTCGAAATCTCGCTTGAACTCGAGCAATTCGAAAAAAGCTCGTTCGATGACAACCCGAGACTAAACCTTTTGTGCGCTATAACATTTTTTTTACTACTTAGCTCACCTCACTCTTCATTCCTGGATCTGCCCTTGGCATTACACATGCAGTCATGCAGAGAGATTAAATCTGAACTCAGAAGTACATATATAACTAACTGCAGAAATTAAAAACACTTAACACTCCAAATTAAGTCCAAACATCTGTGATCGAGTAATTGTGATTTGAGAATATCTTTTATGAAAGTTACAAGCATTTCCAAAGAGTACAATGGGTCAACATATATTTGACACTTGAGTTTAATAAGCTAAGATATGGTTTCATTGGCCGCTTTACCACAGAGAAGGGCGTGACGTGGAATGCTATATTCATCCCTCAGAGAACCCGTGGAGGGCCCCACCTGGAGATAGAACTGTTGACCCAAGTATTGTCGCCCCCAGTTCGCTGACCTTACATTCCACATTCCCATATTGTCCAATGGCATGTAAATGGCAGTCCACCCTTTTGGATAAACCTGAACTGTGCTACGAGAAATTCCATCTCCCAAGTTGTAAGTTAATCTGCTTGCGTTTTTCCACTCTCCGGTATCCATCCTATTCAAATATACCAAGTTCGGAAGTTTGTATATTATATTAATAGTGGCATGTCCGCATGTAGTTTTTTATTTAAAAAAATCCCTTATAGATTCAATGGATAAGAAAAAGTAGCCTGAGTTTACATAATTTAAGTGGATAAAAATGTAGATAAAAGAATAAAATAGAAAAGTAACAACTTAGTTTTTTCAATTTAAAAAAAAAACATATTTTTTGTAGTCTAAAAAGAAACATTTCTCTTGTAAAATAAAACTCATTGAGTAACAAATCTATATACGAAGTATATAAATACTAGGGGTGGGCATAGCGGGTTCAAAACAGTTTTTATCAGTTTTAATATTGGTTTGATTCTGTTTGAAACGGATTGGAAGCACGATCACCAAACAAAAACCATACTATATTTTAGTTCGGTTCATACTTATTCGATTCGTTTTGGTTTTGATTTTTTATTTTTAAAAATATATTAAAAAATTATTAACTATTTGAGTTCGGCTCGACCTTATATATTCGATTTTTCACAGTTTCGAATTCTTTTAGTTAGATTTAATTCAATTTGGAAGACATACTATCAAACTCGAACTAAATTGCATATGATTCGCCGACCACTAAAAAAACACCCATGAATTGAAAGCTCACTTTCTCATAAGTGGCATCCATTGAAGTCAAGTCAAATAGTACGTATTGAGGCCTTGTTAGGTAACATTGCAATTGACAGGATCGGTTAAAACTACTGAAATTGTGAAATTTTGACTGAACTGGCAAAATTTGCTAATTGTGCTAAATTATGGAAATATTATACTCTGTATCTAAAATACATTTAATTAATAAAATAAAATAAAAGTTTAAAATTAATGTATATTGTTCTTAATCTCTTACTTTATATATCCATATTTCACCAAATTTGAGTTTTTTGTGACCTTACAAGAATTTTAATGTAATTTCTGAATATGTAAATTTTATTTAATAAAAATATTTTTATTGCGTATTAACAAGGGTCACTTATGACCTGTGAAACATTGCAAACTCAACGGAGGTAGTATAAAATATTCATTCGATCTCTTTTTTATTTGAGTAATGTGAGTTGATTTTTCCCGTGCAACGCACTTGTTCATCGTCTAGTAATAATATATGGTATGTAGTTTTTTAATTAATTACAAGGATTGTGAATTTGGTCTTTTGAATCTTATATTTTTCTTTTATTACTACTTGTCAATATTAAATATTGTCCAGAGTAATTATTTTTAGGGAAATTCTATGGTGCACCTCTAAATTTTGCATGTATGGTACACTTTCTTATGTAGACAAATAAAACAATGCCACATGAACATTATATCACTATATATTTTAATTATTTTCCATGTGGTATAATATTATTGGTCCCCTATGGTACAATCAAATTAAAGGGTGCACTATAGAACTCCCCTAATTTTTAAGGTGTTAAGACCTGGAGTTCCATCCTTAAAGGTCAACCTGATAGAAGGAGTAACCCAAAGTCTATATAGTGTTTTATTGTTTTGAAGCTTTCCGGTGTAGGATAAATACTTCAACACGCCCCCTCAGCCCGGTTCGGGCTGAACAATATCGGGGTGTATAAATGGGCCAAACAGACCTTAACAAGCTACCCTTAATCATGGGTGCTAAACAAGTTTTCAAACCACAACCGGACTTGGCTCTGATACCATTTTAAGACCTGTGGTTCCATCCTAAAAGGTCAACCTGATAGGAGGAGTAACTCAAAGTCTTATATAGTGTTTTATTGTTTTGAAGCTTTCCGGTGTGGGATAAATACTTCAACATGCATAAGGTATTTAATTATATTCAGGGTGGGCCAAACACACATGGATTAGAGGGTTGCTGTATATAAGACTGAAATCTATTCATGAAATAAATTAGGGGAAAGTGATACTATACCCGACAACAAAGCAGATTTGGCCATCCAAGTGCCACGACTGTATGGTGTCTTCCTCATTCACAAAGACAACCTCAACGAATGACCTAAAACTCGCCGCCACGACAGAAATGTTAAGTAGAGGAGTCTCTCCGGTGGCGTTGTCAATGATGCTGCCGGCGGTGAAAACTCCGGCGATGTGGAAGTAGTCTGCAAGTTTAAGCGGTGTATCTGCTGGAATGAACGAAACGCTGTTCACAGCATACCGTTGGCGTCCATTGATGATCGGAGCTGAGTTTTTCAATATAATTGTACGCGAGACGTTCACCCGTCCATAATGATAAGAGCCTTGCGGATTGGGCCTCGGCCCACTCGCTGTCAAGTTTTGCCTGCAAATCAATCCATTAACAACAACAATTATTTGCATATGGGTAATTCTATCCACAACCCCCATTTTACTAAGTACAGCCACTACATTTAAATTGTCCAATTATACCCTTTTCCTCTCAACTGCTTCAAATTTCACGTGTTCATCTTCACTACGTTTCAAGTTTCAACCCATCCAAACCCGTCTTCACCCTCAAGCTGAGAATATATTTGTTATTACCTTGTACTACTCTCAAAGTTAAATTGTGGTAAACTACGTAAGATGCAGGAGAGTATGTGAGCAAGTAATTATGATAGAAACTACTGTAGCTGTCCTACGAAAGAAGATTTTCAAGGCCACCATTGAATAATTTGATAAAAAGGCTGTTCTTTTCGACCACTTTATACTCTTTCCTGTACAAATTCAGCTTCGGGTATGTTTTAATCGAGCAATCCAGCCTGCTCAACTGCAATCGGGCCATGAAGCAATCTGGGAAGAAGGGATATCCACCTTGCCCATAATTCAGCAGTGGAAATCAAATTTAATTGGGACAACCTTCATTTTGGGTTCTATTCATGACTTTTGTTAAGTGGGAATTCAAGAAAATATAAGAGGAGGATCCAATTCAAGACCTTGTTCTCTGACTCCAATTTCTCCAATTCCTTCCGTATCTCTGGTTTCTCGATGTCACGATTACAGTTTATCAATTCTCTCCTTCAAAAAGTCGTTTTCATGAATCACCTCTTGCTTCTTCTGCTTCGACGCGGCAAAGCATTTGGGTCAGCGCATGTGTCTGCATCTCAACATCGTAGTTATCTTCCCCGTCCCATGAAGATCTCAGCATCGTTGAACACACGGTCAAAGGATATAATTGGACAATTGACTATTTTATTTAATTATATTTAAATTTGGTGACTGTGTTTAGTAAAATGAGGGCTGTAAATAGAATTACCCTTTGCAGATTTCATCCTCTAAATTTATTCAATTCAAATTAGGGACTTCCATCAGAAACTACAATTTCAAGTACTAACTTTTTTGGTAATTTAAATCTGAAAATGTACTTTTGGTAGGAAATTAAAAATTCTTAATTGTTGGACCAATTGCAAGTAACTAAAAATTTCATGACCAATAACGGATACACCTCAAAAACTACGAGTAAGTTGACTTTGGATAATTAAGAGTATATTTGATACAATTAGCGCTAAAATTATGTTTATGAGTTTTTTTAATAATTGTTACGGAGTACTTTTTACAATTGGAAAAGACTTTAGGAGGTGTTTGATTTATTTATGTTTGATATGCATCAAGTTGTTCTGACGAATTAATGTTAAAAGTCACAGACTTTCTTCAGATGCTACTCAATGTAACTTTTTAAAAATGATCTTTTGTTTTGAAGAAAAAAACTTTTAAAAAATCTTGGTGCCAAGCATAAACCCGAAACTTTTAGAGACTCTTTAAGTAATACGTAGTACAAAACTAGAAGTTAGAGAATTATGGATACCAAGCACGCACTTAAAGTAAAAAAGGTCGTTGCTTTTTATCAGGTTTTTTATATTAAGGGTATGTTTGGCACAACTAGCTAAAAAGATACTTTTGCGAGCTTTTTAGTAACTGTTAGCTTTTAGTGACTGAATAGATCTTAAAAAGAAAAGGTGATAGCTGTTTGGTAAAAAGCTGACTGTTTGATTTAGTTCGGTTTGGTATACAAGCTGTTAGGACTAATTTAAACTAAAAGTCACGAGCTTTTCTCAGATGCTACACCCGGTAGCATCTCAAAAACGATCTTTTAATTTTTGAAAAGCTCTTAAAAAATGTCATGCCAAACATACAACTAGAGTCTTTTAAGGTCTTTTTAAAGAATAGAGAAGCTATAAGCTAGAGTCTTTTGTGTGCCAAACATAGCCTAAAAAAACTGACATTTTGATTTAGTTCTGTTTGCGATTAATTAATATTAAAAGATGTAAACTTTTCTTGAGACGCTACTTAGTGTATTTTCTCAAAATGAGATCTTTTATTTGAAAAAGAGTCTGAAGGTGGTGTGACAAAATACTACAAGTAAAAAGCTTTTAGATGTTGTTAAAATAATAAAAAACTAAAAGGTAGAGACTTAGATGCATTCATTTGGACTGTTTTCTAGTATCAGACCAGACCAAACTTTTATAGTTATAAAATACACAGAGGCCAAATATTTATCAGATCAGACAAGACCAGATCAGACTAGTTCAAACAAAACTAGCAAATTTCGGTCCTTCTTACGTTTACCAAACATGCACTAAATATGATCGAATATGCAATGAGACAAATGGGATGAAAAGATAAGTTTTAGATTTGAGGCAGGTTAATTACTTGATGGTTCGAGCTTGATTGAGAGACGGATTGATGGTGTCATTAAGTAGAGCAAGGGGAGGGGCCGGGGCGGGTTTGGCCGTGTTGTCGTTGTAATGAAGAGTGGATGTTGCATTAAGGACGTTAGGCGTGAATAGGGTAGAGATGAGAATAAGGTAGTCCGCTGCAGTTTGATTTGCTGTGACCAATACAGAGTATGATTGGCCTACATGGATATGCAGGAACTCATAGCTATTCTGCATTGTGTGTGTTCCCTCAGCTTCAACTAGTAATAGTTCATGACTCTGGATTCTGAAACTGATGGAAGTTGCTGATCCAACATTACATATCCTAAACCTGTATGTCTTCCCCGCCTCAACTGTGAAGCTTAAATTGTTTGATCCATGACCGTTGATTAACATTCCATCTGGGGACGGGATATCCCCAGCACTTTTCGCACTGTCCAACCTTGCTTTTAGCTCCTGCAAATCATAGGAAACTTGAGACAACCCTAAATTTGGTATTGTTGTGTTTTGGTACTTTGACTCTTTGATGCAAATTAGAACAACTACTTGTAGGTGTTTATCCGGCGGTACCACTAAAAATTGTAAGAAAAACATCTTGTATCTATGCCTGGATTCCACATATGCAGGCTTGCAACCCAATAATTGTTTATGCACATCATTAGGGGTGTAAAATGAGGCAAGCCGTTCGCGAGCTGCTCGTGAATCGCTCGGGAAAAATTCGACTCGAGTTCGTCATATACAAGTTCAACTCGAGTTCGTCGGCTTGTGGCTTGTGGCTCGTGGCTATTTATTTTGGCTTAATTCAAACCTATTTGAATTGAAGCCTATTCATTTTATTAGGCCCGTGACTTGCGAGCGGGTTCACGAGCCTTTGTGTGTACATATTCATATATAATATTTGGATTATGTATTCTAATACTTCCTATAGGGCTCTTCTATAATAATTATTATAGATTATTAGAACCATAATCTGTAATTATTATAATCTGTAATATTTATTAATAGCAGAATAATAAATACAATGAAGTAGAAAGAAACTAAAGAAGGAGAACGATTAAGTACAAACAATATCTTATTAATTTTTCGGTATGTATAAATGTGAGATTAATAATTTGGATCGTATAAATTTTATTTTTACTTCAAATTCGAGCACAAGTTCGAGCAACTTATTTGAGTCAAACCTATAAAAATTAATTAGCAAAATTTGATCCGAGCTTGAACCGAGCTCGAGTTGAGCTCGGCTCGAGTTCGAACCCGAATTATTTAACTCGTCCTAGCTCGAACTCGAGCTCGGCGTGAATATTTATCAAATTTAAGCATACCCATATTCGAGTTCGGCTCATTTGCACCCCTACACCTCATCGGTGTACATGAAATTAGAGGCGAGATTTGTCAGAAAATAAAAGTTACACGGAGAGGAATTACAGAGTAGCATGTGTGAAATTCCAATAGAAATGAGTATCATTTTTTGCCGCAATTTTGACTGGTGCCACTGGGTAAACATTAAAAGTAGTTGTGGTGTGGATTTTCTTCATTTTAAAGTTAAAGAATACTTCAATACTAAACTTTTTTTTTATCAGAATAGTCATTTATCAGTTTTCTCATCTAGACCTAGAGTATAACTAATAACTGTGCGTGGGTAAAAAAATGAAATAATTAGAGTTGATATATAATTCGTCCGTTCTTTTTTAGTTGCAACATTCACTTTTTCATGTTTGTCAACGCACAACTTTGATCGTTATTATATTTAATTATGTATTAGTAAAAAATAATTAAAAATCAGATTATGAAACTTTTTGATGAGACGAATTTAACAATATTTTAAAAAAAAAATTAATTCAAATACATTAATAAATAAAATGTAGTCAAAGTAGAGTACATGAACAGTGTGTAATTTGCATTGTTGCAACTAATGCAATACCGAGACAGTACATATAATAAAACGACTTAAGACAGGTCAATTTACTTGTGATCTAAACTCACAGTGTGGTTTAAATTGAACCAATCGCCCACGAGTAAGCTGTAATCGTCGGCCGGTGGGGCGAAGGGGACCGGAATCTGTGGACGGCTAGCTATCTTGATGGACCCATACCCTCCTGCGGCCCTGTGCATATCAAGGGATGGGAAATAGAAGTAGCTTCCGATCTGATCCTTAGCTTGCATGGTATATGTGAAATTCATTCCGGGAGGGATAGGGCAGTTTGTGCCAGCGACCCCATCCTGCCATGAGTTCTTTCTTTGTTGCAAACCATTCCTGCATGCCCAAGTCGATCCCAACAATCACTACCCATTTTTACAATAACTAATTAACGGTAATATCCTCTTTCTTTATACTAATTAAACCATCCCACTGACATTGGAAAATGCGTGATGGTAAATGAATGATGTGGTTATTAAGAAAAGTGAGTCTGTGTGATGATATTGAATTGATAAAGTCAAAATGATTTAATTAGAACCACAATAATTTTACTGAATTCGATATGAGACAAACTTAGTGGGACGGGCCGAAAAGGAAAGATGAGACCAAATTTGGTATAGGTCGACAATCTTAGGATGTTTTCTTTTGGACAGGAATTTGTTGGTCTAGTCTGGTCTGGTTTGGTAAACGTATGATCTATGTGTATTTTATCACTATGGAAGTCTGGTTTAGTCTAGTTTGTTTAACTTTGACCTGGTCTGGTCTGATCTGGTTAAGGAGTCAAAACAATCCAAAAGAAAACATCTTTAGTGAGAAGGAGAGAGTATTATTCTCATTACAAATGTGCTAAGCATGGGGAAACAGGAAACTAGAAATGCAATTTTCATTTTAATACAAAATGAAGTATTTTTCTCAACCATTTGATCAGATAGTCTAGCAAGTGTGTGAAGCGTTTCTGAACCATTCTTCATGGTTCATTACCATGTAAGTAGATTAGGACTCACCATGTGAGGAGAAAAGGTTCATCCAAAGAGTTGAAAACATTGATTATCAAGTTGTCATTAGTGACACAATCAATTGTTGGCCCCGGGAATGTACCATTTATCAATATCCCCTGCCGCATTTTCCAAAAAACGAAACAAAAATTAAAGATAAACATGTGAGGTCGATCAATGATCAATGTATTACTAACACTACTACCATAGAAAATACCTTTTGCAGAACTCCAAGAGGGGAAATGTCCCCATAAGTTACGTTCCATTTATAGTATCTGTACGGATCTTCCCCAAAAATGGAACCTGATAGGAGAAGTAGAACTACCACCACGGTTAATGACCCGTACATATTCAGAGAACAATAATGGAAATGTACGTGGGGAAGAAACTAAGCAGAGCAAGAAAATGAACGTAAAACTAAGTATGCATATTCACGACTAATATGTATATATTAATGTTAGATAATATGCCAGATATATATTAATGTTACCTTTTTGTTTTGTTTTATATAATTATAATTATGCACCCATTGACTTTTCTTTGATATACTGTATTAGTGTATTACAGTTAGAGTCGTTGTTTCTTTAGTCTTTCTTTTTTGCTTTTCTGTTTTCTTCATTAGCTTTTAGAATTTGGAGAAAAGAACACAGAACTTGAGAGGGTGGAGAGATGGAGAGGAGGACGCCGTAACGCTTCTGCATTCTGAAAAAAGGAAAGTGATCTCCCAAAAGGCCGGCTAAATTCTGTGTGCTCTACTCA